AGCAAGCTGACCTGAACAAAAACAGGATATTTTTTTTCTGGAGGAGGCCAGTTGCTCTCCTTGGCTTTCTCAAGGTGATAAATAACTATTTAGAATATCAATCACTATTGTTTATCCTTAAGAGAAGTATGTGGGTGCATTCATTTTTGTCTTGAGGTCTCATCCTCCATGTGGAGGTGTCTACCTCCCTACAGTTGCACTGTATCTCATCTTCTGACCTGGCTCCTTTGAGGGCCTACCCCTGGCTGATGGCCTACAATATTTCTGCCTAACTTAGTTGTCTATCACAGCGGTGATGCCAGTAGTGTGTACATGCCTGAGTGTAGAGGGGTGGGGGCAACCGAGTGGCCAGCCACTGCTCCATGTGTCCATCTGGGTTTGAACAAGGTGACCCTATGCCTGTGCTTTCCAGCTCTTGTGCTGAAAACAGGTGTCCTTTTTGGGCTCTGCCGAGTGCACTTTTTGTTCATTTCATTTCTTAAGTGGCCCAACTCAGGAGTAGAGCTCCTGAGTAGCAAAGGCCCAGGGTTTGATATCTAGCACTACTTAAAATGGGAATGGCCCCCAGATGTCATGCTGCATACAGACTCATGTTCCTAAGGGCAAGAGCATGAGAAATGCCTTGTTGAGAAAACATGTGTGGTAGAAAATCTTTGTCCAACCATGACCTATAGTCGGTGTTTTCCCAATGTATATTAAATAAATTGTCCTTAAACAGAAACACACATGAAACAAGGTTATGTATTGATTCCTTGATGAAAATATGACCAGAGGCTCAATGGAAGCCAACCTTATGTTCCCTCTAAGAGAAATAGTTTCATATTCAATAATTATGTATTCTAGATGATATGAACCAACCATGGTGTTGCAAGCCTGTAATCCCAGCTCTCAGGGAGGATGAGATTAGAAGCTTGTAAGTTTGAACCCAGTCTGTAGAGCAAATTTTATTTTTTATTTTTAGTTTTTTGAGACAGGGTCTCACTATGTAGTTCAGGGTGGCTGTAAACTGATCATGCGGCCCAGGCTGGCCTTAAACTCTTGGTGATCTTCCTACCTCAGCCTTCTGAGTGCTGAGATTACAGGTGTGTGCCACCATGCCTGGCTTTGAGCCCATCCAGGGAATCTTAGTGAGACCTTATGTCAAAATAAAAAGTAAAAAGTTCTGGGGATGAAACTCAAATATAAAGACACTGGTTTAATTTCCAGCGAAGCAAACAACAAGAAAAAGGATGCCTTTATAAAGTAATGAAAATCAAATATGTACACACATAGATACTGGTATAATAGATATAAATACACACAAAGCATATAATATTATTTAATTCCTTTTTATTGATTTGTTTTTTTGAAACGGGGTTTCACTATGTAGTTCATGCTGCCTTGACCTCACTGTATAGCCCAGGCTGGCTTCCCAACTCATAGCAATCCTCCTGCCTCAGCCTCCTGAGTACTGAGGTTACATGTGTGTGCCACAACACCTGGCCTATCTCCTTTAATTCTTAAAACACTTCTGTGAGGGAGTCATTATGCTCCTTCAGCACATTTAATAGATGGGAAAATAGCTCAGGGAGGTTCTGTGATTCCCCAAAATCACATAGGCAACAAGTGGGCTTGACTTCAGTCCTAGTCAGTCCAATTCCTTCTTCCCACTCACAGCCTCAACAGAGAGAGGGGGAAAATTCAGAGGACTAGATGGAGGATAAAAGGTGGAGAATGGGGCTCAGAGAGGTGGAGGGTCCAGCTCCATAGTACAAAGGGGCCCAGGCCCACTCCCCAGCCACCTCAGCCCCACGCTCTGCTGGGTCCCAGGGAGAGGGAACAGGGCTGAGTGGCAGAGCCATGAGGGTGCGGGCTGGCTGGACTGCAGGAGGACAGTTATATATGATGGAAGAGAGATTACACTGCCTCTTCCTCCTCTGGACGCTCAGTATTCCTGCAATCCCTCATCTCCCTGCAAAGCTTGTGGGTGCCAGCCTGGCCAGACCCAATTCCTAGGCACTGTCCAGTGTCCCTTCGCAGGCTGGTCCCAAAAGAGAGAACAGAAACACATTTAGCATTCACAAAATGCAAACACAAATGGGGGCTGAGTAGTTGTTTAGTGGTAGAGCACTTGCCCAAGTTGCTGGGTTTCATCCCCAGCACTGAAAAAAAAAAGGTTTAGGTGCATTCTAAATATTTTAACCACTGGAATTTTATTTTCCCATGTAGTGGCTGTATTGTCCAACGACTTTGCATCCAAGCCTACAAAGCAGTGGGGCTGCTGTGGGAGAAGTGTTATTGGGCACAGGGATCCCAGTGTCCAAGAGTCGAGTGTGACAAGTCTGCATGGTGACAAGGGTGGAGTCATGCACTAGGAATTATATTCCAGAACCCTGGGCTTCTTCCAGGAAATTGGCTGTATAGGTCTTGGTGTGACACCCTAAGAGAGGATGGAAAGAATAATGGTAATAATTAGCTGGGGAGCTTCTCTCCTGTGACAAGTACTTTCCATACATTTTCCATTCTTTGCAACAGACAGGTCCTGGTATTCCTGCTGTCCATTTGGGAACTCTAGTGCTCACATAGGGCATCATGTATCCAGTGAGATGCAGCCAGGCCCAGGCCATGTCTTGCCCACTGGTTGATGCTGCCCACCATCAACACTTGCAGCCTTCTGCATCCTAGAACTCTACATTAACTGGGTTGGAAGATTCATAGTCATCCCTCAGCATCAGTGGGACATTGGTTCTTTTATTTATGGATAAACATTAACAATGGTTGTTATATTTCATATTGTTATTATCAACAAAGTTACTCAGATTACCAGATATAAGAATGCAAGACTGGTCAAACTATTAAAAGCCAGTAACAAGTAATGAAAAACATTAGAAATGATACAGAGCTTCATTCACCTTGTTTTCAAATTCTGTATCATTTTTATAGTTTTTATGTTGTTTTATTTGTGTCTTTGGTTTTTATTATTTTGGTTTTGTTTTTCTCTCTTTAAAATAAAACAAAGGGACATTGGTTCTACCTCCTTCTTCCGTATGTAAGTCTGTGGATGCTAAAAAACATTGTTCCATGTGCTGTAGTGTTTGTATAGAAGTTGCCATACACTTAAATCATCATCTAATACAATGCAAAGAGGTGCTAAACTGTTTCTTTAGGGAATAATTAAAAAGGCCTCTGTGTATTTACTACAAGCATTGTAAAAATAGAATCACCAGATGTAGAGGCCACAGGTACAGAGAGAGCACTATGAATCTTTGTTAGGGAGTCAGTTCTTCAGGCGCCCTTTAATGGAACAGTGATCACATCATTTCTATGCATGCTTTCCCAGTGGTCCATTTTAGGCAAAAAAAGGATTTAAAAATAATTATGAATCCACATATGGTGATAGATACTTGTAATGCAAGTATTCTAGGAGGCTGAGGCAGGAGGACTTAAAGTTAAAGCTCAGCCTTAGTTATGTGGCAAAGTTCTGGGTCAGTATAAAGAATTAAGCCCTGTATGGTAGTGCATGCATCTAACCCCAGCAGTCAGGTGGCTGAAGCAGGATCATCATGAGTTTCAGGCCAGCTTGGGCCACATAGTTAGTGTGAGGCCTGCCTGTACTACATAGTGAAATCCCGATATGAAAAATTGCATTATACATAAAATCATGAGTGCTGCATTTCTACATGCATCTTATTTTTTTTTCTGGTACCAGGAATTGAACTCACGACCTCACACTTGCCAGGCAGGTGCTGTGCCACTGAACTAAATCTCCAACCCCTCTACGTGCATCTTATTCACATCAGTTTATGCCTGCTGTTGTTCACTTACTCAAATTTTCCTTTTAGAAGCAGTGACAATGCTGGAGATTCCCAGCCATCTTGGTGCAGCCAGCAGTTACTACCACTTGCCAGCCTGCATGCTCAGCTATGCAGCACAGGGCTGGGGAGAGTGTCCCTGTCTTTTATGGGACAAATAGAACAAGAGAGATTGTCACGGGAAAAATGGTAACATATATCCCTAGCACAGGTCCCAACAATGGATCTATAAAGTGTTCATCCAAGAGAGCAAAACTCCACCCAGATGTTCCCAGCTACTCTCTTCATCACTTTTGGTGTTTGGAATTGTCCAGCTATTGTTCAGTAGAGGGATGACTAACTCAACTCTGCTCATCCAGAGAGTGCAATATCATCAGGCCAGGAGAGGCTGTAGGCATGCAGATGCAGCCCCAAGGGAATGAGGCCAACATGAAGGCTGTGCATTCCACCACTCTGGAAACAGCCAAAAAAATAAACAGATGTCCCCAGGGAAGGAGGTAAGAGCAGAGGGGCTTGGGCATGTAGCTCAGTGGTAGACCACTGGCCTAGCATGTTTGAGGCCCCAGTATTCAAGCACTGGAAAAGAGAAGTAAGGATCTGAAGGGCAGCATATTATTTTGGTGTCTGGAGATCCCACAGCCTGTCCCCATGCACACACAGCAATCCAGTGGCTTTTTTCTGCATCCATTGGAAATTGTTGAAGACAAAGTGACAAGTCAAGCTTTTTGTTGTGGTGCATGTCTGTAATCCCAGCATCCTTGGAGACTGAGACAGGATTTCAGGTTTGAGCCTAACCTAGACAACGGCTACTTAGTGAATCCCTGTCTCAAAAAAATAAACTCGCAAATGGAAGAGGACTAAGAGATGGGAGGGAAGGGAATGGAATATAAAAATAGTTAACATGTATTCCGTGTATGAACTAACTCCCCATGAGGAATGTGACCATTAAGTTCCACAAACATGTAAAAAGAAAAATGAAAAAAAAAATAAACTTAAAAAAGGATGGAGAGATAACTTAGTGTGAAAATCCTTAATTCAATCACCTATACAAATCAAATAAATCAAGCTTCACTGTCCAAGATGAATGTAATAATTATGCATGGCAAATATACTAATAAACAAAAAGTTGCATAAGTAAATTTGAACATCATGTCACTGGGTCTTCATGAAAGAGTTTATATTAAGATTACTTTATTTGTCTATTTTTGATATAGGGTATCACTATGTAGCTAAGGCTGGCCTCAAGCTGGAGGTGATCTGCCTGCCTCAGCATCCAACGTACTGGGAGTATGGACATGTTCTTCCATTCCTGGCAAGGTTTCCTTGGTGACCATTTGACGATCAGCCAAATAGATCTAACTTCAGACATATACATATCTTCAGTGTTTCCCTTGTCACTGGTACAAAATATCTAACACTCACAATTTTAAAAAGAAAATGTTATTTTGTGTTACAATTCAGTTCATAGGCCAACATGGCAGAGGTACATGACAGTGGAGAAACAGCTCATGGTCTGGATATTGGAAGCAAAGATAGATTTACAGGGGAGGGAGATGGATTCTTCCTGGCCAGGACCCCAGTGACCCACCTCCTCTGACAGACTTAACCTCTCAAAATCACACTGAGCTATAAATTCAGTGGAATAATACATGGATGAGTATCAGGCCCACATGATCCATCGTATCCCACAAACCTGCCTGTGAGTGCAGGAGGCTTCAAGGGTTATCTACAGTTGAAAAATATGTTCACCAAGGGGACGCACACAATTGCAGCATCTAATGATACTTTGATAACGATACTCCTGTGTGACTTCCCAGTTCCCACTGGGCTGGAGTCTACAGAATTGACATATCATACACAAATCACAGGAGTAGGTACAGATCTGGATCCTAAGTGATGGTCTTATGGCCTTCAGAACCTGTGTTAATTCAGCACAGACCTTACCAAACTGCTCAGGGTGCACAAACTCTGTTGGAATATTGGACTCATAGCTCTCTAGTGGGGCAGGGTACAGCCCCTGAGACAACTGGCTCAGTCCGGCAGTTAGATGCAGCAGGACCTGAAGAATACCCAGGGAAAAGTGGTTCCCATAGCAACTGAAAGTCTTGAGCCCAGTGCAGCGGCTCAGGGCAGGCAAGATGGCAAGGAGATGGGAGTCCGTGATGTCACAGTGCTCTAGGACCAGGGTCTCCAGGGTGCTGGCCACTTTGTCTATCAGAGCCTGGAGAATCTCAGGATTGAATGGTTTCATTGAAATCCTCCTCAGAGTCAGAGACTTGAGCTGGCTTGTGCTTGCACATTGGGACAGATGCTTCAGGTCAGATTCCTTCAGTGGACTTGAACTCAAGGAGAGGACCTCCAAGGGGGTCTGGCTCCTGCAGAGAGAGAAGTTATTTCATAGGAATGGCAGTGTTGAGTAGGGTGCATTAGGAAATGTCCTCAAGGTTGCAGAGCCAGCTTAGCCCTAACATTTCTCTCAGCATCTGACAATCACTGGGATGCTGTGTGTTGAAGGCACTAATCCTTCAAGTTACCATCACTTGTCTGATTGGCTCAGTCTCCATTCTCTACAGCTCCCTGTGCTCAGCACCAATCAGAAAACCACAGCTTTGGCCAGATGAGGCAGGTGAGCAATTTGCAAGAAGAATGACCGTAGGTATGTTTGGCCAATGCACTGGAGTTGGCCCTGTGTCCTTAGCAAAGACTGTGTCCCTGTTTACAGCCCTGTACTCCTTTTCCTCACCCTCAGCTCCAGACTGCTGCCCTTCCCATTTGCTCATTGCCTTTTCTATTATAATTGTAATGGTTTTTAACTTGCTGTCCCCCCAATGCCTTATGTACTAACTGGTAGGAGACTGGAGGAAGTGGCTGGATTATGGTTGTAATAACTGGATCAGTCCAATGACAGGTTTTGCCTGGCTGTAGGGCATAAAATCACTAAAGATGAATGCACCAACCTGGGTGTGGATGGCACCAAAAAAATAGCCTTATAGCTGGGTGGAATATAAAGGGAAGCAATAAGGCAGCTTGCTGCTTTCTGCCCACTCTGCAGTGAACTGTTTCTTCACTCCTTGCCTGGAGCAAACTAACTCTGGACTGAATCCTGTATAAAGTCTGAGCTAAAATAAACTTTTCCTCTTTTAACTTGTGGGTATTGACTGTTTTATCCTAACAATGAGAAATGCAGACAGTCACACAGCTGCCCTTTTGAAAGGAGGACACACACACTGGATTTCTCCTCATTACAGCTGCTTTGCACAATCCACTGTTCAATGTAGAGGTGCATGGCCTGTGTCTCTTTCATGCTCTCACTTCACTCTTTCCAGCTCCTTACGAAGACCTGCTTCCAAAGGAAGAAACCTAGTCTACCCTCATTTTATCTGTTCCCTTCCTGTTGGCTTTCTGGGCAAAGGGGCTGCTCCAGACCTCCTATCCATGTTTTATCCCTGGTTTTACATGGGAGGTAGGGGGAGACTATGACATGTTCCAGGAAATATTGTCTTTCTCACTTCCTAGCATCTTCCCCTAGGCCAGCAGATGGGCAGAGAGAAGGCTTCTTAGTATTTACTGTAACCACAATTGTGCAGGAGAGCTTGCCACCCACTCACCTGAAGATCATATGCAGGGTTCCATGCAAGAAAAAGACATCATCTATATGAAGCTCCTGGAGACTTTGCAGCTGTCCTAAATGAAAGGCATAGATGTTGGAATACCATTTGTTTTTCCCGGGTTCACTAAACAATTTTGGACTCAGGCTGCTGAAATGAAATGTGTGAAGGTTATTCATCTTCTTGAGGTAAGGGACAAATGCTTTCATGCTTTCCCGGCTCCAGGCACTAAACACATCCAGCACGTGGACAGATTCCAGTTGCACAGCTTGCAGAAGCTTCAGGATTGTAGTGACAGCACTGGATTGAATCATCACCTTCTCACAGTACAGGTGTACTGAAGCTTTTCTCTTTCTGACCCAGTTTAAGAGGCAGAGTTGTAATTTGTCCTCTGTGGCACAAGAGGAACTCCAGGCTTCAAAAGAAAGGTTTGCAAATATTTTCAAGGTTGGCTTCTTGTCAGTTAAACTAAGCTTTTCTGTTTCCTTATTCCTGGCATCTGCTGAGTGAGCAGTACACATGGCTCTGGGCCCTGCAGTCCAGAAGTCGTGGTGTACATCCCTCCAGTCCAGCACCTGCAGCTTCCACCTGCTGTGGGTGAAACAGAAATAAATCTCATGAATGAGATAAAAACCCTACTTCCTATCTGTGTTTGTCTTCCACTTTCTGGGCAACAGCCAATCCCCTGTTTTTCCTTTCTTCCTTTTTCTACCCTTTTAACCTTTGCATGCAGCTTGGCTTATCTTCCCATCCTGTCAAAGTAGGAAGGTGTAGGTTACTCCTGAGTTCACTGTATCTTGCAAGTTCAGGTTTCACATCAGGAAACCCCTTCCCGGCCTTTGGCTCAGCAAAGGCCAAGACCTCTGTGATTCTCTTCAACATCGTAATCTCCCCTTCATTTCATTTTGTCTTGCTTCTTGACACCAACTGTCCCTTCCCAGAACTCCCTGGTCCTTCTTTCTATTACTTGTGCATCGTACTCACTTGTGGTGAACCTTCTGGGACAGCTGTATGTCAATTCCATCCAATAGGGCTTCCAGGGTCTCTAGGTTTTTTATGTCTGGTGTGATTTTTCCATACTGAATGTATGGGGTCTTTGGTTTCCTCAAATCCATCAGGCTCCTAAAAGGGAGGTAGGGGAATGGCCAGGCCTGCACCATCACCTTCATCACCTCATTGTGTTCCCCCATGAAGGCATCGATGAATAAGTCATGGAAGATCATGGTGGGCAGGTCATGCAGAGAAGTGCTGGCTATGGTGTCACTCTTCAGCAGGCTCTGCTTAGCCAGCTCATAAAGAGTCACTGGGCTCTGCCTGCTCATCCTGAGATGTCTGCAAGGAGATGAGTACTGGGTAATATCCAGGAAGAGGCCTCTGTGCATGCCAAGCACAGAGACCCTTTTAAACCTACGAAGGCCAACTTGGGGCCACGGTTCCTGGTTTGGATATGGTAAAGCCTTCTCAGTTTACTCCCATTTCCCTGCCTTGGGTGGCTACAAAGCCATACCTCTCCCTCTATTGGCATCAAACTCCACTACCTTATCCATTTCAAAACCCTAATCCTTTGAATTCCAGTCTCTCTGAAAAGTGATTTTGTAGTGTTGTGAAATCCCAGCCCCGTCTTGTCTTGGAATCTTCTGATTACTGGGACAAGACCCTAGAATAGCAATGAAATTGTCTTATGGCTCCATCACCTTACCATTTCCATTGCAACCATGAGGCCAGTCAGGAGCTATTAGGAAGACATCATGGTAAGGATCCTGTTATTTTCATTTTAAGAAGATTAATAAATAATTATAAAGCCATATAAGATTGTTATTGAGGTGCGGAAGTTAGAGATGTAAATTGCTAACTGTGGTGGACATTGTTAAAACTTTTCCATGTATGAAAACTTATCACTTTGTGACTGAGTGCAGGACAGAAAATGGATGAAAACCAAATCTCCAACTTTAAAATACTACAGAGACTTGAGCAGGGCAAAACATGCCTATCACCCCAGCACTCAGGCAGAGCAAGGCAAGTGCATTCCAAGTTCAAGCCCACCCTGTACAATTTAGTGACTTAGCAAGAATGCGTTGAAATAAATTTTACTTAAATAAAAATAGGTCTGGTGAGGTAGGTCAGTGCAAAGGCTGTGGTTTAAATTCTAGTACTGCATAAATGAGAACAACCCAAACAGCCAGGTGTGGTGGTGTATGCCTGTTATCCTAGTGTGCTGCAGCCTGAGGCAGTATGACCCCTTCTAATTCTATGGTAATCTGACGTACATAGTGAGTTCAAAGCCAGCTTAAGGTACTTAGTGAGATCCTGTCTTAAAAAAATACCAAAACCAAAAACAAATTAAAAAATAAACAACACCTCCAGCAAAAGCCACACTTGACAAA